ATTTATTTATTTATTTATTTATTTTTCTATAGCTGCCCAACCACAATCCAAGTGACAAATAACAAAACAGATGAAAAATAAAGAGCTAGTTACATTCATGAAAAAGTAAATTTAATGCACAATAAAATGGGCGGAAGCCATTTTCATATTGATCAGTGCTAATGACTAACATTTTTAAAGATTTTTTTATTTTATTTTATTTTTTTATCCCGCCTTTATTATTTTTATCAATAACTCAAGATGGCAAACGTACCTAATACTCCTTCCTCCTCCTATTTTCCCCATGACAACAACCCTGTGAGGTAAGTTGGGCTAGGAGAGTGTGACTGGCCCAAAGTCACCCAGCTGGCTTTCATGCCTAAGGCAGGACTAGAACTCACAGTCTTCTGCTTTCTAGCCTGATGCCTTAAGCACTAAACCAAACTGGCTTTCTATAGTAATATAGACTAGACTAGACTAGACTAGACTAGACTAGACTAGACTAGACTAGACTAGACTAGATAGAAAAGAAGATTGTATGCAGTCTGTTCGTTAGAGGGCAGATATTTTCCCAAACAAAAAGTTGAGCTGCTATGACTGGTGTCAGTCATATTAATTATTCTGATTTATTCCGACAGCTTCAAAGTTTTCCACATGCTGTTTCATCTAAAACCTCCAACCCGCCTAATAATCATGTTCTTAAAATTGCCACCATACAACTGGAGCAATATAATACATTTACATAATTTAGACTGCAATCCAATGCATACTTATCAAGTAGAAAGTCTCAGTGGGATCTACTTTTGAATACATATACCAACTAGATTTTCAGCAGCTGACCATGTTGTTTGACAAACTCCAGTGTGCTGACTCCATAATTATTTGCATTTATCTGTTAAAAAATTAGTTTATGCTCATTTGCCTATGAACATATACTAATCAAAGTTATGGGACAGCTGACAATAATATTGTCTAACCAACTTGTATCTATTAACATACATGGCTGTTCATGCATTGAATTCATCTGCCAGTGTGGAACAAATTGGATTTTCCCTCTCTGTAGCACTTCCCAGATTTGCTCTTAACTATTAGGCAATTTGAGGAATAAATAGAGACAGCAAGGAAAACTCTCACCGTGTAAATGCAAGAATCCTTACGTAGCACAGAATATAACCAATATGAAGTACAGCTGAAATCCTACTTTGTTGGATTACAGATTTTAGAAGATGTGTGACAAGAAAACAGCTTTTCTTCAGATTTTATATGAATACAGTTTCTAGAATCCCAGTTTAAGACAAAACATAACATATGATGTCTATTCAAAAAGTTCTGGATTAACATCTTTAGTTTTAAAATGTAAAAATTGTAACATTTGTATTGATTATTTAAAAAGAACTATTAATATTTAAATAATCCTCATTCTTTGATCTTCATATTATTCAATTTTCCCAAGCAGCAAGACAGAGAGTTCAAATGAAGTCTTTGATCTGAAGGTTCAAGTCCATCACTTTCTTACTTTCTAGTTTAGAAACCTGTAAATTAGAAGTTAAAGCTGAGAGTTACCTTTTGCCTGAAATGCTATATTACACATTTTTATCACAATCCCCACCACTACTGCTATGTATTCTAAGCAAAAGTGGATTGTGATGAAATAATTTCAACAAGTGCTACCATTTAAATTCTTCCAGCACATACCTTCTTTATTCAGAATTGTACCATTCCTAATATGCTTTGATAAGCAACAGAACCTATTGGGAATGTTTAAACACATATCTACATATTACATATAATTAGATCTAACAAAAATGAAAAAGGAACTTTTAACAATTGGTGTTACTATAAAGTCATGGTAAGGCTGAGCTTCCAACAAAAAACTAATATATTATTAAATAATTATCACAATAATATATCAATATAATTAACAAGAGGATTCAGACTTAACATCAGACCACTGTGGGATATAGAATGTAGAAACCCAAGTCTTTGGTTAATGATGGCAATTGGGACCGGAATTTCCACCGCCTACCAACATGTTTGTAAAGCACAATGTCATATGACCACACCACTTAGCAACGGAAATTCTGGCACTTCTGGTTGCCATCATAAAGCAAATCACTGTGAATTGTTAAGCATGAAATCACATGGTCACCATTTGTGACCTCCGGCTGGCTTCCCCATTGACTTCACTTGTAGGGAGCTGGCAAAGAAGATTGCAAATGGCGATTGCATGACAGTGGGATGCTACAATGTCGTAATTACGAGCCAGGCGCCAAGCTGGTTTAAAAGGAAACCGATGCCATCCACACATACAAACCTGTATATACAAATAATCAGCCCAACCTATTGGCTTCAATCTTTCTCAAGCACTTTTTGTGAGAATAGAGAGAAGTTCAAAGTATAGTACAGTAACATACTGGGACCCCATGAAATAATTTGCACTTTTCTATTCCATACAAAAACAATTTGAGTAATGTGACACAGACTCCTTTCTCCATCTGGACTACCCAGTAACAACAAAGTTAACATGTTTTTTTACCCCAGTTTCCACACTGGCCACCATACAACACTTTCAATAAAAAAATGTGACCCGTAAGTATTTCCACAGTACTAGAATAATAACCTCAGCAACTCATAGGAAAGTGTAGTAGGACACCATTTCCAGGACGACAAGGTAATTGATTCAGGTTCAATACAGGAGCTATTAGTACTGTCGTTGCTGAACCAATGCTGACCAGTTCTCACATAATTCTGATGGACAGAAAACATCGTAGCCCATATATATCATCTAAAAAAATCATTCAGGTGTTCTTTATTCAGAGCTCCTGCCATATGAGCACTCTAGATAATCCATGTCTCTAGCCTTGCAGACATCACTCAGATGATGTCTGCTTCCTACAGACAGTCACAAGTTCAGCATGACTATGTGCAAGGAAGAAAATCTTTGCATGTGCAGCTAGAGGCACACTGGCTTCCATGATAGGTGCCCTTGTTTAGCTAAAAGCAATTCAGTAAGCAAATCTATATATCTGGTAAGTTAGTGTGATTAATTGTTCCTTTTCCCAAAAGGGCAGCAGGGGGTGGAGAGGAAGACAGATGAGTGGCTTCTATGACAGCAGTAAATAGATCTAAAACTGCGTAAGACCTAGCTGGGAAGCTGTGGCTCACAGCCTTAGTAACACCAGCAGTAACTAACATGCTGTTCCATGGCTGTGTTAGTTGAGGTTAAGTTGACATTAAAAGCCATGCAGCTAAAGAAGACAGTCAACAGAAGAATGTTAGGAGGAATAAGGCTGTTGCAAAGTACAGGCGAACAAGCCTCAGAAACTCAGAGTACACCCAAGTTAGAATTACTAGTTTAATCCCCGCTCTTCAAACAAGAAAGATCTAGTCTGCCATCTTTTGTCATTCACTCTGCTAAAGATAACACGGTAGCTTGTGTACTATTTTATGTAGCCCAGACTCCACATCCAGCTTCCAAGTATTAATAATATTGCACAGTCATCTGACAAAGACTAATAACATAGCAATTATTTAGTAATCAGATACTTAAGCCTGGATTAATCTTGTCCATATATTATTACAAGCACAGAAAGATTTTTAAAATGATGTTGTAATAGCAGCACCTTATGGAAGCCAGTAAGAATTTTTGTTTTTACCTTTGCCATGAATCAAAAGTGTGGAGGAAATGATGGAAAAACTAAGTAAGACCTTTTTTATAACAATAACAGGAGCCACATAACATATTTTATCTTGATTTCCCAGGAAGTCAGATATGATTGCAGCATGTCTGGCATTTCAGAGAGGTGGGAATTAGCATTTACTGTATATATAAACACATTTTTATTTTTTTATTTATCATATTTATATAGCCGCCCATCTCACTAAAGGTGACTCTGGGCAGTGTACAACAATTAAAAAAGAATAAATACATAAAAAGCAATTACAAGTAAAAATAATTATAAAAGCACCCAAAACAGAAGGGAATAACATTAATAAGGGAGCCATTGCAAAATTACTGAAACCAACCATGATGTAACATCTTGGCAGGGAAAATGCAGAGGCATTAATATTCCTCTGTCCAGCAAAAGAATGTATATTAACATTATGTTATAGCTGTAATTAAGACCATAAACAAGCCATAATGATTAGGGATGGTTGATTTTTCCACACCTGATGTCTCTAGTGTTATATCAAAATCATATACAAGTCTCAGTCACCACCACCTTCAAAGCTAAATGGTGATGCAAACCAGGACTTCAACTTTGTCCTTTGCTTTGAGCACATAAATAATTTCAAACCTCCCTAGGCATTTGGAAAAAAAAAATGAAAAAGCTGATATTTTGGCTGAGGTGAACTTTCATTTGTCCAAGTGTGAAAAAAAGAACTGCAAAAGATATAGAAGCAGTAGCCTATGCATAAATGTCCACTCTGAGGAGATCCTAAGCTTTAGGAGACATAGTTTTATCTACCATCCTAAAGCATATATACCACCATTCGCATTGTTCAGAAGCTTACTCTGAAAAAAGGCATATCCTGTTACAATAGCCACAGATATAAATACAGAGCACCATAATTTTTTTTCTAGAGCCTAAATAGTATTAAACCAATTATGTTACTAATTGTATGTGCATAGATATAGGAAGCCTAGATTCAAATCTCTGCCCAACGGTGATGTTGGAGAGTACCCTTGGATCACAAATTGTCAATCCTCAAGCAGATGGATGGATTTACATTCAGCAAGCAGCTAAAGTGTTAAATACCGTGTCTCCATACACTTCTACAACAAGGATGGCACTGGACATAAAAATAGATCAATGCTTACCTGTTCATCTATACACCTGAACTGCCAGGACCAAGCAGAATTGTAAAGGAAAGGTCTCAGATCAAAGCGATTGTCATCAGGACTATAGTTGGCAGCGTGATAGGAAGGAGTAAGGGTAGTCATTTTATGTCGGTTGACTGAATACATTTGGAAGAAATGCTTAACTTTTGATGCCACCTGGTGAACAAAACGCAGTATTTCAGAGACTAAAAAAAACAAAAACAAAACCCACCACCACTCAGTAGAACACATAATATAGAATTAGATGATGACCAAGATTCAAAGGTTGCAATCCTGCATTTAACCATAGTCAACCTGACAGACTGCTTCCAGCATTATCAACAGGAGTGTTCAGGTCAAAATGGGTACCACCAAAGCTGCAATTAGGTGAGATGTGCTGTTCAACCAGATATCTTAAGGGGGCAGTTTCACAAGCGACACAATGGGACCTGGAATAATCCTGAATGTAATTGTAGCACTTACTGATTAGGAATGGTCTGTAATTGAAGAAACCATAAATGGGAGGCTGCAATTATCCTTCAATTCAGACATTGTCATCAAGTCATGATTTGCCAAATTCCAATTTATAGTGTTCTGACTTTCCCAGTGTACAAGCAAATCATGGCTTAGGGCTGCTTATTTAGGTGCATCAGGGAAGTTTGCTTGTTTACCTCGCTTGGAGAACATATTTCTTTCCACATTGTGACCAGTTTACAGAACATGGTGTAAGGTCCAGCCTTAGCTATCTTCCTTAGTTTACCATAGACTGAGAGTTCAGCGTACGTCATACCCATGTCTGCCTAACATTTCATATGCACCGCAAAAAGAAGAGAAAAAGAGAAACTGAATGAATATAAAGATCATACATTCTTCAAGAGCCATCTAACACTGAATTAGAACTATAGTTAATCTAGATTTCTATGAACTTGGGACAAAAATATTATTTAATTAAAATGAAACAATAGTTTTATGACTTCATTATATTAAACCCCATAATTCTGTCCTACTGTCATATCAACTCTTATAATTCAGAAGCAGTTTTGGAATGGTTCTGGGAGCTGCAGATTTCTAATTACTTTCAGTACATTTTCTTCTTTTTTTTGTGAAAAGGGATGTTACTGGAAAGTATTCTGTTAATTAGGAATGGTGATGCTCTGGTAAATCTTTGGCAATCTGGATTCAAAGTCCTCAAGAGCCTCCATATAAGCCCATTGTAGCTTATACTATTACAGAAGACATATGGGTCTGCAGCAAAAATATCTTAAAAGGAAAAATATGTAATCTGCCAACGTATGCTGGGTTCCTTATGTTATTTATTGAGTGAGTGAACTGGGCTCATTTATGTATGTATGTATGTATGTATCTATTTATTATTGGTCACATTTATATAGCCGCCCATCTCATACAAAGCGACTCTGGGTGGCATACAACAATTAAATAAAACAGCAAATAGGTAAAAAACAATCTTATAAAAAGATAAAAAGTAATTATTAAAATTAAAATATTATCAAAAAATGTAATATACAAACCGCACAGAGAGAGCAGAATATCAATCACAGTAGGACCACCTAAGAATGTCTCCGGTTCCCAAAGACCCCCAGGCCTGATGATATAACCAGGTCTTGAGGGACTTCCTAAATGACAGCAGGGAAGGGGCGAGCCTCACTTCAGGGGGGAGAATGTTCCACAAGGAGGGAGCCACAGCAGAGAAGGCCCGCCTCCTGGGACCCGTCAAACACTGGTTGATGGAACACGTAGCATATCTTCCCTGCCAGATCTAATGGGGCGAGCTGATGTAATCAGGGAGATTATATCACTCAGATAAGCCAGCCCCATGCCATGAAGGGCTTTAAAGGTCAAAACCAGCATGTTGAACTGGACCTGGAAGCAAAATGGCAACCAATGCAGCTTGTGAAGCAGAGGTGTAATATTTGCTCTTCTAGAAGCACACATAACTGCTCGCGTTGCCGCATTTTGCATCAGTTGAAGCTTCCAGATACTCTTCAAGGGCAGCCTCATGTAGAGCACATTACAGTAGTCCAATCTGGGAGTGACTAGGGCATGAGTAACTGTGAGAAGAGCCTCCTGATCCAAGAAGAGGCACAATTGATGCACAATACGAAGCTGTGCAAAGGCCCTCCTAGCTGTGACTGCCCACTGCTCTTCAAGCAGGAGTCATGAGTCTACGAGGGCTGCCAGATTGCACACCAGGTCTGTCTGGGGCAGTGCCACCCATTTCAGCACCAAAGTTGGTAAAGTCCCAGAACTGGCGGGACCCAAAACCCAAAGCCACTCAGTCTTGCCAGGGTTCAGTTGAAGCCTGTTGTTCCCCATCCAGATTCTCACAGCCTCCAGGCACCAGTATAAGGTGTTCACAGCATCACTTAATTCACCACAGGCATAGATGTACAGTGGCGACGGATAAGCTCACCCAGCAGTCTCATGTGGATATTAAAAAAGAGAGGGAAGAGCACTGAGCCCTGCAGCACCCACATACCCAGGTCTGAATCCTGATGAAAAGGATCCAGATAATCCCCTTCATCCAAGGCCCTCTGAAGCTGTTGCGCAACCACCTTCTCAACCACCTTTCCCAAAAAAGGGAGGTTAGATACTGGAAGAAAACTGTCCAGTATGGTGAGATCCAGCAATAGCTTCTTGAGAAGGGGATGAACCAAGGCCTTTTTAAGATGTAAAGGAACAAACCCCTCACTCAAAGAAGAATTAACCACTGCTAGAACACACTCACATAACACCCCCCAGGCCACTTTCACACGCCAGAAGGGGCATGGATCTAGAGAGCAGGTGGCTGAGCTCACAGTTCGAAGGACCTTGTCCATGTGCTCAGGTCCAACAGGTTCAAACTATTTCCAGATAATCAGGCAAGATCCACCCCAGGTATCTCCTCTGGACCTGCAATAAGACCGGCATCCAACTGCAAGAGAATCCGAGCAATTTTATCTGACAGATGCTGACCAAATTCCTCCCCACGCCTCTGCAAAAGGTTCTGTGGGCCCCCTTTTTATTTATTTATTTATTAAATCTGTATGCCACCCAGAGGGCTCATGTCATCTGAAACAGGACTACAGGGCAGCAATCTGCAGACGCAATAAGGGCAGAGAAGTACTGTTACTTTGCCACCCTTACTGCCACAAGGTAGGCCTTAATAGCAGCTCTAACCTGTGTCTGGTCAAACTCATCCTTGGTTGAGTGCCAGTGATGCTCTAGATATCTCTTCTCTCATTTCATCTCCCTCAGCTCCTCTGTAAACCACAGGGTGCGATGGGATCCACGGTGATATAGTGCATAAACCACAAAAGTCAGTTTTTCTTGGATTTTGATGCAGTTTAAAAGACTGCATGAACAAGCTTTAAGCTAAAAGTACAGGCTTACAAGATGGTAGTAGTCGCTTGCCTTTACCTCATCTACTTGAGTAACGTTTCCTTTCTGCAGTGGCTCCAACTCTGCTGTTGCTGGTGCAGATATAATACTGTGTATAGGTGAAATGAAATGAGCCAAATTAATTTGCTGGCAGAATAACTTCTTCCCTGAATGGGGAGGTTACTATTTCTAAGCACATGTTCCATGTGGCCCAAAGCAATTATTAAACTGGGCCACATCTTTTATCTGCATCATGGTACCATTTTTATTCAAGTGCAAGCACAACCTTGCCTGACAACTTACTGTTGAATGCACAAGTTTAGGCACTCTTGGTTAAACTGTATGTTTCATTGAATCCCCAAGTAAATAGAAGTTTGGGGACTATGAATACCATTCCAAAACCTTTACCTTTATTACTTGAAAATACTTCATGGTTGATTGGAAGGTATGTTTTGGATTGTAGTCTTGCTGAAATATCCAACTTATTTTCAGATTCAAATTTTTTTTCCACTGGCTATGGAACATTAGCTAGGAGACCAAGAAAAATCTCTGCTGGAACTGCCCCCAAACTTGTCAGAATTCACAAATCCTTGCAAATGACCTGCTGAAAAAGTTTAACTAACACTGGAGCATTTGTCCATTGTGCTAGAGTACACTATTCCTTATACAATGATTTTAATGGGAGACTTTCCCCTAACCTCATCATGAAAATCATTGCTTATGCAAAAGAAAATCTTGATAAGCCTGAACTATTTTGAGCAAATAAAACAAAAACTGAACTATTCAGACATAACTACACATGATACTTCTGGAGAAAAAAAGGTGAAACGTTTGAAGAAAAGATCATCTTACCAACCATTAAGCATGGGAGTGGCTGTATGATAATTTGGAGTGGTGTATAAACAGTGGCACTGGAAAAATTGTGTGGGTGGAAAGAAGAATGGATTCAGTTAAGTATCAACCGATCCCAGGAGCTCATGTCCCAGTCAATGAAGAAAATGAAACTAATAAGAGGTTAGATATTTCAGCAAGGCAGTTATCTGAAATGTTATTTCAAATTAATTTGTAGTACTTACAGGCAAGAAAAAAAATGGCCTTCACAGTCCCCAGGCTTGAATATTACTGAAAATCTGTGGGGAGATCTCTAACATGTAGTACAATCAAGGAGACCCAAGAATATTCTTTTAACTAGGGGAGTTCTGTAAGGAAGAGTGGAGAAAAATCTGACATAAAGAATTGAAAGACTCTTTGCTGGTTACAGAAAACATTTGGAAGCTGTTATTTCTGCCAAAGGAAGTATTACAAAGTACTGTCTGAAAGGGAATCCAAACTTCTACACCCAATCATATTCATTTTGTTCTTTCAAATCTGTAACCAACTGCACATAAATTGTAACTATGTATTCAAGTTTGCAGAACAATGTTGCCTTTAACTTTGTTCTGTGTCAATCTAGGAAACATACAGCTTGACCAGGGGTGCTAAACTATTGCATACAACTGTGTTTATATTAGTAAAATCTCCCAATGTTAAGAAAATCAGTATCAGAAAAGTTTCTTATTAGCCAGCAAAACTGTACTTGATGCAATCATATTTTAAAGTAACTGTTACTCATTGATATTCAGAATTTAGTTGCAATTATATCAAAAGTCTTAGTTAAGATCAAATTCTGAAGCATACAATAATCCTAGGAAATCCTAGGGGAAAAAAGCATCAAGACTCCAGCTCATTTTATACTGGAGTAGACTGGAATAAGCTTAATTACTTCACTACTTACCTTTCAAGGGATGTTAGCTGAAAATTCTCAATGCAGTATTGGATAAAGCTTTTCAGATCTGTTTTGCTAATTCCACCAATAGGGTTGATGTCACCACTGGAACAGTCATATTTTGTGAAATATCCTCGAAGGCTAAGGAGCAGGAAGATATACAGTATCTATATCTAATTATACATCCACCCGCACACACATTCTATAGGTCTAAAGCTGATAAGAAGTAAGACAATATCCCACACTTCCAAAAGTTGTGCAATTATAACAGTATGAATCTCTCTGATAATTCGATATTTTTCAGACAAGCTTTTTTATATAGTTTATGTAATATTTGGAAAAACTTCCTGAGTTAACATGTTCAGTTATCTCCCTCTAATATCTATATGATGAGCTTTTCCCTTTTCTTTGAAATTTACATACAGTATCTACAGTTAGTTACTTTACAGCAAACATGAGAAGAACTTCATTTTCAGAGTGAAGAGACATATTAGAACTAGCACTGAGCAGTAGGACTAGGTTTGTTCTAGGAATGATTTGTATTCATCGGTAAAGACAAATCTATTTATTCAATTATTTAATCCATTTCTTACCATAATTTGTCTGTAATTTTTAGTCAGATATATTAATTCCACCTTGAAAACCATAGATGCATAACACATGCACTTGGTTTCAAAGATAGAATTACATTCCATACAAACTGAAGTACTTAACCAAGTTAACAAAACTGGAACAAAATACAACACAGACCCCTCCCAAAACCCACAAGCTAACTGCTGGAGTACAGCATCTAAGGAGCTTCTGAAATGTTCTTTGGAAAAGTTAAATGGCTAAAGCATTATGCAGAGAAATATTTCAGAACACTAGACAGCTGTTGCTTTTGAAACTGTATCACTTGATATGCAAAGCCAAATAGATCAATATTTTTATTGTTACTGGCAATTAAAGGGTTTTACTATATTAACACCTTTCATCCACATTAGCTGTTCCAAGCACTAACAATCCACCAGGCATTCCACGAGCCCACAGACACAGCTGGGCAAACAGGTAGCCGAGTACCATTCTTATTCTGGCCTAGAAGTTAAATGTAGAAATTAGGAATTAATAAAGCTGGAATTTTCAAATGGTACACAATAGAAGAACTCTACATCAGTAAGTGCAGTAGGTATCACAGATAAAGAAGAGGGAGATCAAGATTTCTCTATAATTCTAGAAGAGAGAGAAAATAGTGGTGAGTTATGATTGCTGGGTAGGGAAGAAGACTGAAACTGCTATTAGGAAAAAAAGTATTTGATATCTGAGCAGCTCCAGCTGGATTATGGATGTAAGATCCAAGCTGCTTCATCTTCCTTATCTGTCCCAGGGGGAAAAAGTCCTTTTAAAACCCAACATTTGCTGCCTTCATTTTTGGCCCCTTCTAATTCTGAAAAAATGTTGATGAGTATAAGGAATCAGGCTAGTCCGATCAGACAAATAAACCAACAATAAAAAAGTTGGTTTAAGGCTTTGACCTTTATATGAAATGAAACAAAACCAGGTGGTCTTTGTATATGCATAATTACCATTACAAAACCATGTATGAGATGTCAAAACTTTGGCTCTTTTGGATTGTGTCAATTCATACTTAAAGGAAGTAGTGGCATAAAGTTTCTATCCCTAACTTCCTACGAAATTTTCACTAAATTTTTTCCTCAAACCAAGTCAGTTAGACATAAACATATTTGTTTCAGCCATGATCATAAGCTGAAGGCTAGACTCTCTCTCCCCGCCCCTCTCTCACACACACACTCACACACACACACTAATTTGTTAAATCAGTTAAACCCCCAAGATTACTTTTTTTCTCTCTCAAATATATTTCCTCCAAATGAAATGTACTTGTGTAATGGTTTCCAATATGTTCTAGGGAATCTATCTGTCAAAGAGAGACGGGAAAAGTATTTGTTAATTTGTATAGCCACCCAATTGACATGTGACTAGGATCTTTATTATATTACCTGCACATTCTGTAGAGCCAGGTTTTCCCTCGGGCTTCCTCCATGCACTTGATACTGAGGAAATCGTCCCATCACAGCACTGAAAATCCCCAAAATGGCCTTTACTGCTCCATCTATACTTACGTTGATATGATAGCTGGGGAAAGAAATACTGCTTCTGTAACTGTGTCCAACTAACACTAATAACAAATAAAAACATGCACAACAGGTTAATAGAGGAAGGATGTAATTCAGAATTCTACAATGCTTTAATCCTTTTAAGCATTATGCAAGAGCTCAAATAAAAAGAGCCAGTTTGGTGTAGTGGTTAAGGCACCAGGATAGAAACCAAGAGACCACGAGTTCTAGTCCCACCTTAAGCACGAAATCAGCTGGGTGATCTTGGCCTAGTCACTCCCTCTCAGACGTAGGAAGGAGGCAATGGCAAACCACTTCCAAATCTTGCCAAGAAAACTTCAGGGCCTTGTCCAGGCAGTAGTCAGGAATAAAAAAAACTGACTTGAAGGCGCACACACACAATTAAAATTTTTTAAAAAGAGTTTCATTTCACAAACATGGCTCTCAATTTTTAAAGCTTTCCTCTAGTTAAGCAAGTGCTGGCCTATATTTCCCATCACTGGTTTTCCAACTGTATTGCAAAATATACTGGGTTCTTTAAATGTTTCCCAGGAGTATCTCAGTGGGAGGACCAGGAACAGAAAGTCCATTGGAGTTGGGCAACTAATAAATTAAAACAAACAAACAAACAAGCAGGCAAAATAAAGTTCCCAGCCACACAGTTTTGCTCATTCTACTGTTTTCTTCTGTACAACAGAGAATGTGTATGCAAGAGAGAGTGCACTAGGAAAGACTGGGAAAGATGTTCTATAGCAACAAAATGAATTTATTAGTTATATCACACCCCTTCTGGATGCCCCTAGTTGACCTCTGCTAGAAAGAGTAAGAGATCAGTCAGTTCAGGCCAACCTGGAGCTCGTCAGTATTTTCAATTACAGCTCACATCAACTGCATTAAGCATGGCCAACAATAAAGGAATGAAGAGAGTAGTAATCCAAAAAGGTTTGGATTAGATGGATTGTTGCTCTGATTTGAAAAAAGAACTTCTACTTCAAGTGTGATAAGCAATGTAAGGGCATTTTGAAATCCTAGCTTGAAGTTAGGCCATGAACAAAAGAGCAGGTGGCATGGACTAAAGGAAGTCAAGTAGTTGTAGTGTAGTTGGGATGGTTCAGAAAAGCTTTTGCTAAAAAATTGGATGTTGTGAAAGAACATGTCACCCACCATCCTCAGGTTAGTTATCTGAAAAGCCCTAAAGATATCCTATCATCTGTATAACTACCCAAGCTTAGCACACACATGCCAGAAACCTTTTCCGCCACAGAATTTGTGACAGTAAGATGAGATGGTAACATATCTATCTGGACAGGTGAGAAATGTTTTGTCATCCCCTGTTCTGTTGAACATCTGTCTTCAAGAGTTTTCTGAACAAGTGCACATTGAAAAGCTCTATTTATACCCCAAAGGGGAAAAAAAAAAAAAAAGGAAGGGGCTAGCAGGGGAAATTTCTTAAGTCACAAGGAAGACCACGCCAGAACTGAAATTCAGGCCGGCACTTCTGAAGTGTGTTCCCTCTTCTTTCAAACACTGCCCATGGTGACCTCTAATAGAGAGACTTTATTACTCAACAGAGGCCTAATATTGCCACCTGATAAAGAATATCAACATTAATTAAGATAAAAACTATAATGGTAGAATCCATAAAGTCAAAATCAAATAATTAGGCATATCATAATAGTGAGCTTGGAGCCCAAGATAAATGAGAAAGGGTTGATCCTTGACAGAATTTAAATAACACAACAAAAGACAAGGTATTTAAGAGCATTTGTTACAATCATCTTGGAATAACTCATGTTATAAAATCCTGAGGAGGGATCACATATTTGAAATACTTAGCACTCGCAGAGAAAAATAATTAACTTCCTTAATTATGGGAGAAATACAAGTCAGTCCTACTTTAAAGTTCTGCTTCATTCTTTTTTAAAGAAATAAAGAAAAACCCTACAACCAGCTTATGCCCCCCCCCCAAAAAAAAACATTCAATGGGATGGAATCTACTGGGGAAACCAATACTGTATGATCTATTTGTATGTTAATTGCAATGGAATAAAGCATGTTCAAATAGTTCAACATCTGAATAAATACCAGCATTTGATAATATTCACTATTACACAAGATTAGGGCTGGAATGCTTTTTAAACATACAATGTATTTTAACTACACAGTGCTAATTTATATACCTGCCTATTTCTTTAGCCAAAGACTTGGCTCTGTTGTAAGTATCCTGTGAAGAATTCTTACTAGCCATGTAGCAAGTTGTTAAAAGGCGTCCACACAGTTCCTGGGGTTCCTTTGGGATATAGATATCATCATTTACAATTCTACGCACATCATCCAAAACAGTCTGATCTGAAAAAAATGAGAGGCAAGGGGGCAGGGAAAAGAGGAATGAATGTGAACAAAATACTATTTTCACATTTGGTTTTAGAAGAACACAAAATTAAAAACCAGCCATTTTACTTCATAACATAAACCCCTGTATTAAACAAAAATATTAACTTAAGTGTGTTTAAATGTACAGATCAATGCACATATGCATTTATTTCTGTTCTGAAAAAGACAATTAATCATGCTGTGGTAGAAGTAGATAATATCTTAGGTACAACTGAAATGTGTTTTAATTTATTTATGGATTTGTATAAGACCTAAATCAGAACATAAAGCAGGAGTTAAATTTGTTTTTAATTCTGATACAACATGATCCTATGCATGTTTTACTCTAACATAGAACCCATTATGTTATATACTCCTTTGTTTTACTGCCCTGATTCCACGTGAGAGATAAACACAAATTACAATCTTTGACTGAAATCAATTGGACTAGAATATTTAGCCTTGGCTACATTTTGTCTTTTTCTATGTTCTTATAAAAGATAATTATCCATAATGAAATACATTTTACAGAACTTAGTTATACAATATAGCTTGTTACTGACATGAAATTAGCACAATAAAATTAAAAATCAGAATGATCTAATGAAGTTAGATGTAGGGAGAATAGGGGATTAATAAAAGAAAATATTCTTTGCAAAACACATAGTTAATATATGAGGTATGCTAATGTTGAATGCTATGACAACTATCACACATATCACACAGTGGTATGATTCTAATACCAGCTGCTAATAAGCAACAGTGGAAGAGGGCTATCATCCTTATGTCTGGCTATGAGCTTCACTAAATATATCTGACTGCTAGTTATATAAAAAGAAGGCTGAACTAGCTAGACTTTGGCCTGATCTGGGCTTGAGACACCTAATCACAATAAAACAGGAATGGAGCAAAGGTCCAGTTCAACATTTTGAGAGGCACGAGTGGCAATCACACCACACATGGTAGTGGGGCAGGGTTTGAGAGGACATTTTGGACCCTTTCCTTGTTTTTTAGCAGTGACATGCCTACTTCATGGCTATGTTTCCCTTTTCAAGTATCAGCAAATTAGTTTTTAGCAATTATAGTATTGGGGGTCTCCAAGCTGAGTTGTAAAAATGGGCTCTGGGGATGTATGCCTTCCTGGGGATGCAGGCTGCCCACTCCTGCATTGAAGTAAAAAAGTCATTATTTCCATGGAGTACTGGATTATTTCCAGTAAGCTCTTACAACTTCATCATTTGGTTTCTCTTCCTCCTAAATTAATAATACAGCAGCATTTAAAACAACACAATGGCCAGTAGGATTTATCTCTGGGAATTTCTGGTAATTGATACTGCCTCTGAAATTGCCTACATGTAATTATATGTAGAGGTAGAACATATATTGCAAATTGATAGAGAAAGATGTATGATTCAGAACTGAAAAATGCTTTGATCCTTTTAAGCACTACGCAAGAGACAGACCAAACAAATCAAATCAAATTTTTATTACAGTCAAAGACCAGCATAAGGAGGGTGGGGCACAGTTAATTAAAAACCACAGAAAATACATCAGTCTAAATTATTATTATTAAAAGCTAAAATACATAAAATAGAAAGTATATATCTAAAAGGAATCTAAAACGAGGGGTAGGAGCATTAGATAGGTGTGGGGGAACATAAAGGTTAGTTTACAGATTATATCTATCAAGTTACAGAGTAGTATGACGAACTAGATGCTCATTAAGATTAGTTTATGGCACAGGTTATTATCTGACAAATTTTAATCACTGCTGGGCAGAACCTGGGAACATTGTATGTTGTAGCAGGGTTGGTATCTGAAAGCAGCAGGGAGGTGTAGAATTGTTCTGTGCGCCGTGGGTGTTTATACAATAATGGTGAGATGAGGCTAGTATGAATGTCTCTGTAATACAGGCACTGGAGAACCACATGCTCTGTTGTTTCTGTATGTCCAGAGTCACAGGGACATGGTCTCTCCAGGTACGGAATCTTCCTGTATTGGCCTTTAAGGACAGCTGAGGGGAGGGCATGACATCGTGCCAGAGTAAAGGCTCTCCAGTGGGAAGGTACTTTGAGTTTAGTTACAGTGGGGCAAAAAAGTATTTAGTCAGCCACCAATTGTGCAAGTTCTCCCACTTAAAGAGACAAAATGGAAAAAAAAATCCAGAAAATCACATTGTCTGATTTTCTACAAACAAGCAAGATGTCTGGCTCTCACAGACCTGTAACTACTTCTTTAAGAGGCTCCTCTGTCCTCCACTGAGACAAAATGGAAAAAAAAATCCAGAAAATCACATTGTCTGATTTTCTACAAACAAGCAAGATGTCTGGCTCTCACAGACCTGTAACTACTTCTTTAAGAGGCTCCTCTGTCCTCCACTGAGACAAAATGGAAAAAAAAATCCAGAAAATCACATTGTCTGATTTTCTACAAACAAGCAAGATGTCTGGCTCTCACAGACCTGTAACTACTTCTTTAAGAGGCTCCTCTGTCCTCCACTGAGACAAAATGGAAAAAAAAATCCAGAAAATCACATTGTCTGATTTTCTACAAACAAGCAAGATGTCTGGCTCTCACAGACCTGTAACTACTTCTTTAAGAGGCTCCTCTGTCCTCCACTGAGACAAAATGGAAAAAAAAATCCAGAAAATCACATTGTCTGATTTTCTACAAACAAGCAAGATGTCTGGCTCTCACAGACCTGTAACTACTTCTTTAAGAGGCTCCTCTGTCCTCCACTGAGACAAAATGGAAAAAAAAATCCAGAAAATCACATTGTCTGATTTTCTACAAACAAGCAAGATGTCTGGCTCTCACAGACCTGTAACTACTTCTTTAAGAGGCTCCTCTGTCCTCCACTGAGACAAAATGGAAAAAAAAATCCAGAAAATCACATTGTCTGATTTTTTTTAAGTGGGAGAACTTGCACAATTGGTGGCTGACTAAATACTTTTTTGCCCCACTGTACATATATCATAGGGGAGGCAGAGTACCTGTTGGATTCACTGGCAATAAAGGTTGGGACTCTGGCTAGATCCAATTGGCGTCTGTGTCTGCTACACTCGGTTTAATGAGTGCTTTGGCCTGATCACATCCAATGCTGAGTAGAAGACTTGGCCAGAAGCCCAAGGATGAGATTTTAGTTGCTACTGTTTCCATGTAGACTAAAATCATCCCTCACAGTTAATTGGGCAAGGCCAAGGGGAAAAAAGGATAGTCTGAGCCAATAGTTGAGTATGGTCATCCACACTCTAGCCTCCACTTTCATGAGGCCTGTTTTAGTCTCAGAGTGGCATTAGAGACATATTTTGGAACTTGAAGGGCTGAACTTAGAAATTTGGATTGTACAAGTTCTAATGGTGCAAAACTGGAGAAGGGCCCCAGCTGGGCACCATAAAGAAGTTGTGTTATTGGCTTGGCTTCAAATAATTTGAATGCTGCAGGAATATAGTAGCTACCTCTTGTCTTGAGGAATTTAAGGATGGCAGATGAGCTCCTCTGTGCATTTTCAACAACGTAGTTCCCATGGGCTTTCCTACTGCTAGCAGAATGAAGGGCTACTCCGAGGTATTTGAAACAGGAGACCTGCTCAATCTTATGGCCATCTATGCTCCAGGAGTAGCTCTTGGGCCTTTTGGCAAATGCCATGATTTTAGTTTTCTGATAATTGAGTTCTAACTGGTGTTCCTTGAAGTACTGTATTAGTGCTCTCAGTGCTCTTTTAAAGCCAGTAAGTATTCTTGAAAATATTGCTGCATCATCTGCATAGAGTAAAACAGAAATGCGTCTTCCAGCAAGTTTTGGGAAGTGAAAATTCATGTTGAGGAAATGGCCCACCATGGAGTTGATATAGAAACTGAATAAGAGTGGGGTCAATATGCAGCCTTGCTTGACGCCTTTCTCATTTCCAGTGGCTCTGATGAGATGGCCCTGGGGGTTACATCTTACTTTGAATAAGGTCCCTTCAGGAAGCATACACATTAGATGAAGTAAAGGTCAGTCAATCAAGCAGGCCTTGATATGAAATCAAAAGCTGCTTTGAAGTCTATGAAAATGGCATAAAAGGAGATTGTGTTGTGGGAAGAGCATTTTTCAATGAAATGTTGGAGTACTAAGCACTGATCAATGGTGGATTGGCCTTCTCTAAAGCCGGCTTGCTCCTCTGCAAGTACATTTTCTTGTTCCAACCAGTCCTGGAATTTCCATTGTGGGTATCTTGCACAGAGTTTGCTGATTGTGTTGAGGAGGCTGATTGGTCTATAATTAGCAAGATCATTCTTTTTCCCTTTTTGATATATAGGGACAATGATCAAAAGGCCCCCAATCCTTGGGGACTCGGCCATAGGTGTCGATGCAGGTAAAGAGTGAGACCAGAGTGGGGGCCCAGAAACCCAAGTTGTTTTTTATGGCCTCTGGAGGGATTAGATCTTCTCCTGGAGCCTTCCCTGGTCTTAGATGAGCAAAAGATTCTTGATCTCTGTCACTGCCACTGGTACCTACATTGGAAGATTTTTTACAGTTTGGTTAGGGCATCCACTTCCAACAGAGGTGTTCATGTAGAGTTCCTGAAAGTATGTCTCCCAGGTCCCTGGGGAGATGTGAGAGTCCACCATGGATGGACCACTGCTTTGGGAAGACCAAACAAAATACTCTTTCTTGTTCCAGAAAGTTAGCTCTAGATGTTTAAAGCTAATTCCATCCTGTTTAGTTAGCAAATGTTCTAAGTATAGAAACATATCTCCCATGTAGTTTTCAAATTGTGTTGCAAAGAATACTAGGCACCCTTGAAAACCTCTTGGGAATATCTCAGTGGGAGGACTGGTAACAGAAGGCCAACTACTCTTAAATAATTTTGCTCACACTATCAATGTTTTTTTATGGAAAACAGAGCTGCAATAGAGCATTGGATGGAAATTTTAGGTCATACATGTTATGTGGAGAGACTATAAAGTTCAACATACCTATTTAATACCCTAACTGAAGTACAACCTGGAACAGGTTGGCACAGCACTTCAGCTTCAAAGAGGCAAATGCACATCTTTTCCCAGGATTGTACTACAGCTGTAGAAGGGCAGCGACATGATTCTAGGACAAGATGCAGCTGCTTTAAGAAGTTGCCAACAGATGTTACATGCGTACACCCCCACCATATACTTCAAAGCACTCTATTTTCCCCTTCAAGTCCAAAGCACTGCACAACCTTAACCCAGAATATGTTTTATAACACTGTACCATGCATGAGCTCTGGAGTAGATGCTCAGAGAATTCTTTGGGGGGACACTCTAGTTTAGTGGTCAAGGGCAACAGGTGCAGTTCAATCTGTAAGACTCCTAAAAATGCCTCTGTCTGAAACACTGGGCAGTTGCTGTCAAATAATGTCAAAAATGATTGAGCCAGAGGGGCCAATGAAGTAATTCAATAAAAAAACCCTATTCTATATAATCAGTGAACAAGTAAAACATAGAAAGGGTTTCCTGGAAGTATGAAAACTGACACATCTGCAACTAACTTTTGGTAATCTGTACTGCTCAAGTGCACTTACTTCCATTTTTTACTGCGTAACAAATCTGACGACACATGGAATAGACAAGGCAGGCTGCAGCAGAACTGTCCACACCACCACTAAGTGGCAAGAAAAATCCTCCCTTAACAATCACAATAAGAAAACCAAATTAGAACATTGTTGGGAACCATGCTTTCAATTCTTCAGGAGTTATATCTTCAACCTATAATTTTCTAGTTTATTTATTCCTAGCTGCAATTAGCCACGAATAGCCCATAATTGACCGTTCAATTAACCACATCCAAAATTAAGGTTAATTTACAGTTTTTAATCTATCTAAAAACAGATGTAGAAAATATGGTCTACAATCCAGCACCTGAAAAGGTAAGACAAGAAGGCCCTATGTATTAGTCTGGCTGAGATTGTCTACCATTTGGATCCTCCCTTCTCAGAACTGTCTCTCTTAACAATGACAATTAAACACAGCTGTTATATAAGGAAATGAAAGAATTGGTATCTGAATATGCTTATCTTCCCCTTCCCACCCTATCTGCCTTTCTGAATCATGACTTAACGGGTAAGCAATCTCATCAAATATAAAATATTATGAGTGCTCTAGTAGGCACACATGATATAAATGTGCTTGGCAAATATACTATCAGCACACAACTAAATTTGCAAACCTACTTAAGGGAGCAGTAGTGCAGTTAATCAACTGTGGCTTGTTTCCAAATCAAGTCCCCATTCTTGAGTCTCTCTGTTAAGCAGAGACAATATGTACGCCAGTGCCTCCCCTGGAGCTCACCAAGTTTCCTGCCGCCGCTGTCTTTTTGAAGATTCTTTTAAATAGAAAACAAATCAATTGGAAATCTCTGTCTTACAGAGAAAAGCAGCAGCCTCAAGCACAGTTTATACTCTAGATTATCTCTGGAGCTCATGCAGATATCAAAGGCATTTTTATTAAATAAAATGGTAGCCAGCTATCACCCAATTAGAAGTGTGTTCATCCACCTAGGATAAAGATAAAGGTAAGCTGAATTCAGAGTTCCTGGGAATTCCTGGAAAGCCAGAAGGACGCAGGAACTGGCCAAAGCCGTTTTGCCACAACTGTTCCCTCCATTTATTAAAGTATTTACAGCACGCTCTTAATTTTCAAATGTGCCTACTGACTCAAAGTTTGGGGATCCCTGCTTTAGGCCATTAGCACATGGACAATGCTACAAATGGGGGTCTAGCTGGAATAGATTAAAGTGGAAATTCATTAAAGGAATATTTTTATTTATTTATTTATTTATTTATTTAATTTTTCAGCCGCCCATCTCCCCCCAATGGGGGAACTCTGGGCAAATTACAACAAACATTAGAACATAAAATATATAAATATATAAA